CGATGCGGCGCTCATCATGACGGTGTTGCCGCTGCCAGCCGCGGAAGCGGTTGCGGGGCTGACCGTCTTACTGAAGCAGCGACACGACAAATCTGCCCCCAACACTACCGGTGATGAGGAGGTGTTCTTCGACAGGCGAACCATCTAGGAGGCGTGATTATCATGGCGAAGCTGTCCAGGATGTTGAAAAAAACACGATTTTAAGATGCTTCAGCTGAAAAAACAGTGGGTCTCGGCATGATGAGGGGGCAAGATTTGTCTCAGCATCCCACCGCAGAATTTGCTTTAGTGTCCCGTCCAGTAGGTATCATGAGGAAGCAGGGTTTGCTTTCCTGTCCCCCCGCAGGATTTGCAAAACTGTCCCACCCAGAAAGTCTCATGAATGCAGGGTTTGCTTTAGTGTTCCACCGCAGGTTTTGCTTTAGTTCCGAAACAGCGAATACGCTTCGGGTTTGTAATCTGGTAAAGCACGTCGGTGACTATAGATTGTTGGGATGATTTCGCGGAGAGTTAAGGGAAGGGTCCGCGCGCCGCTGCTACTGTAACTTGTTGTACCTCGGCAAGCGACACGTAGTCTTCGAATGGCACCGAGGAAGGAAAATAGCGCCAAGCAGTGTGCGCGAACTAGCATGTCTGTGGAAGCGGAATGAGATCCATGTGTGTGCGAGCCGAAAAAGACGCGATCCATATGTGCACTGGTCGAGCAAACATATCCGTATGAACGCGCGGAGCACACGGCACATACTGACACGTCTGTGCACGCAGAATGAGATCCGCGTGTGCTGGCCGAAAGATGTCCGCATGTGCGGGCGGAGCACTCGGCACGCACTAACATGTCTGTGCAAGCAAAATGGACCATGTGTGTACTGGTCGAGACAAGATAGGGCCGCAACAGGCGCGGGACGGCAGCGGCCCGATGGCGCGCCAGAAGGCGCAGGAACTGCACAGCCTCGCTGCCAAACTTGCCGCCGACCAAAAAACCCAGACGGCAGCGACGGGCGTAGCCGAGCTCGGGATATGTGTGGTGCTGCTTGCGGAGCGCCGCATTGTTGAACGTCGGCGGTCGGATGTGAATGCCTCGCCTTCACGTGTGAGTGGAGAGACCAAAGTGGCATCGGCTGCGAGTTGGGACCCGTGCCAGAGCGGCAGGCCGTTCGCGACAACCTCGATGCGCCGCTCATCGGTGATGGGGACATCGAGGTTCATGTCGGCAAGGTGGACGTGGCGTGCGACCTTCGCTCCAGCCTCACGGCAGACGCGAGCTACGGCGTGCTCACGGGGCAGGGCCCGCATGGACAGGACGCCAAAGGTGGTGCACGCGGCACGGTGGGCGCCGTGCGGGTGGCAGCTGCAGCTGCCCGGCGCGAGCTGCAAGGGCATGCGCAAGCACCGCAGCATCGTCATGCGTGGGGCAGACGTTGAGGGCACGGCCGGCAGAAGGCCCCGCTTGTGAGAGCAGCAGCGCGCGAGATTCGGCCCGACCGCTTCGTCAAGCGCGTGGTTTGGGGGGAAGTGGAGGTGGGGGGCCGGCGACAATAGCCCGGCTGAGGGCCAATGTGAAGCTGAGCTCCAGCTGCAACTGTGTTTGATCCTGTTGGCAGATTCCTTCGCTGAGGAGGCTGCACCTGTCCTGCCCGTCCAGAAAACCCAGAGGCCGCTCGACTTGCCATGTTAGCGGTACTTATCGCCGGGCGGTTCCAGGGGGGTAAACGCTGCGCGCAACTCCGCGGGAGCACGCGACGTGGTATGAAGCCTATATATCTACCGATTGTAGTTTTTGTGATGTTTGGGGGTTTGGAGATTTGGTTGAAGTGCCGAAGGGTGTTTTTTTTGCCAAGATGTGCGGTTGCGACTGGCACCCCTGAGTGGCATACTCCCAGGAGCCCTTGAGGACATCACAGATGCACTGGAAATGGATGAGCTTCCGCATGTCCCTTCAGCTGAAGGTATTGCGGGCCTACCTTTTCAGGGTTGTGGAACCTGCAAGGCGTAACGTCAACGCCCCGTCGACCTTTTGCCTGCGGGGTCACAGCCCATCTCGGCAATGTCGCAGCCTTTTACGCGAAAGAGAGGCGCCGAAGGCCATAAAGAATATCTACGGATCGTCTGCATCGCTCCGTCATTTGTCATTGTGAGATTGGGTGCCCTTTGGAACGCTCCCTGACTCCACCAAGGTCGACGAAGAAGCAGTTCCCATCCCCCGTCTCCGCTCGCGTCTCTGCTCCCGCACTCTCAGACGCAAATGACTCATGAGCACACGATAGTCGCTGCCTTTTTTCGGTCGATCCCAATTCTCATCCTTCTCATCTCATTTCTTGGCCCCTCTTTCGCGCGCCCGCTTGGGTTTCCCATTTGGGCGCCCGGCGACAGCGCTGAGGTCGTGAAACAAAAAAGGGGGGCCACGGGTGGCCGACTTCTCAGATCCCCGAAGAGCATCGAGTCGCTCTAACTTGTGCTATGACGAGAGCTCTGATGCCATGCTTTTTGCCACCAGTATCAGAGCGACACAACCTCATGGCAATGCGCTCTGCTGATTGCAAAGGCTTGCTGGCGCGCTCACTCCGGATGCACCGTGCGCCTGCAGGGACTTCCGAAAGGCTATACAGCACGCACAACTCGAGCTGTGCGCGGTGAGGCACCTCTTCCGGCTGAAGGCCTCCCCGGCCAAAAGCAAAGCCAAGGCCACCAGTAGGTCCACCTGAAGCTTCCGTCCCTCTAAAACACACAGCAGTACTCAGTAAGGCACAAATCGATCGGGCGCCCCCGGCGGAAGCCACGGCACAGCAGAGCACTGCCAGCGTGAAGCAGGCTCCGGGACTGTCGCGAAAAAGGAGCAGCCAACAACAACACGACTCTTCACAGGGCTGCGGCCGGCCCGCGCGCCTGCCCATCCCGAAGCCCGAGAGCTGCGAGAAGACCACACGCTTCTCGATGCCCCACCTGGGAGAAGGAAAGGGACTTCCGGGAAGAGTAGGGAAGGCAGCTGCTCTTTGCAAACCTCAAAAACGCGGCCCCGCTCTCTGACGCTCTGCTTCGGGGGCCCCGGCTCTCTCCAAAGCGGGCTGTTCACCGGGAAGCTTAGGTTGTACCGGCCCGGCGACAGCCTCAGAGGCTTTTTGCACGCAGTATCGGCAGTCTAAAACATCAACGGAAGGGAGAACCGACCCCCTCAAACCCTAAACTCCTAAACCCCCTAAACCTATATAAACCCTTAAACCCTAAACCCCTAAATTAGACCCTAAACCCTAACCCCCCCCCCCGTCTCTGCTGCTTTCGGGGGCCCGGGCCCGCCAGGGATTCGGCCCCAAAGCTGCCGCACGCGGGGAGCCGCCTCAAGAGCTCGCTCGAGGGTTTAGGGCCTTTGGGGCCTCTCGGGCCTTTAGGGTTGAGGGACGGAATTCAGGGAGCATGTTCTTGGCTCTGAGTCTCCCTGCTTATAACTGGCTAGCTATAAGCGTTGGAAAGCTGAACATGGTCACACGCGAACACAGAACAGCCAAGCAACCAAGGAAGCCGGCAAGCAGGTCTGCATGCATGAAGGCGTACAAAGACGTGGACAGGCATGGCATCGACAGATACAATGCAGGTGCGCACGGGCAGACACGCGAGCAACAGCCAGCTTGTGTAGCCATGCACAAATCTAGATACGCCAGATTCCTTCCTGGTTGTGGCACTCATTGCCTGTATGGCGGGGTTTACAGAAGCCGACTTGGCAGGAATGCAAAACCCCGGCTCCCTCCGACAAGAAGACACAGAGAGTGCCTCCCTGGCCGAAACCCGTCCAGGGCCGAGACCGGAGTCCGGTACCAGACTTTGAGGTGTTCGAGGAACGTCCCGTCTGGCAGGGGCTGGAAAAGTCTACGATTTACATTTGCTACTTGCTTCTTTTATGCCGGAGGCCAAAGCCTGGGATCCAGCTGGTGATGCCCTCCACCTGGCAGAAGCTTTTGCCATGGCCGGGGGGCAAAGCCGCTCTTTTTCACACCTGGCCTGGAATCGGCCGCTGTTGGCGTCCATGCTAATCCAGGAGTAGAGATCCTGGCCGGTTCGGCTTCGGACTTCCGAGCCGCGTTTTGAGTTGGAGGTCGGGGTCGGGGTCGGGGTCCCCGTCGGCTGGCAGGCAGAGCTCTGTCTCGTCCACTTGCATGGCGAGTCCCTGAGAATCCTCCAGCCTCAGGCAGATCGCTCAGAAATGTCACACGGGGGTTCCCTAAACACAAAAGCCCAAAACCCCCAGAAGTTTCTTTCCCAGCCTGAACTGGTCTGTAAACACGGACATCGACACGAGCCTCGGTCCAAAGCACAGCTCTGCAGATTTTTCGCCAGGTCGTCGGACAAAATTGAGCTCCCCGGCCCGCAGGGGCGGAACTGATCGAAGCCTCGGAAACAGAGCAGGGCCGCAGAATCGTTCTTCAATCTTACCATCGACCGGGCTCCCCAAGTTGCAAGACCTCTGCAGTTCCCTCTCTCTCCTCTCTTTTGTCCACTTAAATCCCCAGGGCTCCTTCCAGAAGTTGGTGGAAGGCCGGGTCGGGACTTCGTCGTGGGAGCACGTCTGCCACCTGCCAGTCAGAGCTCTTAGGCAGTTCTTTTGGAGTCGCAAACGGATCTCATCCGACCCCCTGAGAACCCTTCTTTTTTTCTGGCCCTACTATATAGGCTTGTCTTGGCAGGCCTGGGTGATGCCCGTGCAGGAGTACTGCGCAACCAGAAGGTTGAAGGCCAGGGGGCGGCTCTCCTGAGAAGAAAGGCCCCAGGCACTCTCTCTCAGAAACACACAGAGAGCTCCCTCTTTTCTGACTGCGACTGAGAAAGTGGAGACCAAGAGGGCCGGGGCCTGGTAGTGACGATTGTTCGCGTTGAAGCGCAGCAGCTCATACCTCGCTCCCCAAAGTGCCCCTCACACGGTTTTGGAGACAGCAGTTAGGCAGGGCCTACGGCAGCAAGTAAGAGGAGGCAAAATGAGTCGCTGGCGAGATCAGGGAAGCTCCTGCGAGGCCTTCCTCCACCACGATCTCCTGGCACAGCTCCGATTTTTGGCCGCAAAAGGACTCTCAGCTCCAGAACGGCTTGGGGGGTTTTGGTCCGTTTTGGGGTTGAGGGTGAATCCACGTGGCCCCTCCTTCCAGAGATCGTCAGGGCCATACTCGAGGCTGATCTCCTGCACCGCCTCAGACGAAAAAAAGCACTCACCATACAACAATACGAAGAGAACGCACGCCTGACACAGAGAGAAGAAGTGGACAGATGCGTCTCCTATGTCTTCTGTAGCTGTACGATAGACTCACAAAGGAGTCACTATAGAGGCTATATAATAATATATGCTGCTGATATATCGCATCGCTGAGAGTCGAGGGTTCTCGACCCTGAAGCGGCCCACGCTCGGGTGCCCGGCGGAGCCGTGGAGGAAGAGCGCGTAGGCCATCATCAGGAAGAGGAAGGAGCAGGCGCTGGAGTGGCAGGCATGGGGCGGCCTCCGGAAGATCCTGTGAAAGAAGCCCCTTCTGCGCTCTCTCTGCGAGAAGTCTCTGCGAGGCTCTGCCCGGCGGGTGCCCGGCCAGAGTGGACATCCGGTTGCGCGATCTCCTTCTTGCTCGATCTGGGCGGGGAAGCCGACGTCGCAGGATTGGGTTTAGGGAACTTAGGGACTTAGGCTCCGCAGACAAATGCAAAATGCAGACGACGGAGTCGCAGGACGGGCCTGGTGCAGTCGGCTCTGGAACCAGAGCCTCAGAGACGACCTTCCTCTTGCTGGGCCTCGTCGAAGGCGCAGAGCGAGAAAGAGAGAGAGCGTGTGAGAGCTCTCTGAGGCTCCCGTCCTGGAGACATGCACTTGGAGGTTTCGCCTCAGACTTCGCACGGTACGCGCCGCGAGAGTGCGTCAAACACCAAGAAGCCGGAACCGAACCCTCGGCCCTCGCAGAGGTCCCTCTCTCCTCGGGCCCCGGGCGGCCATCCTGTAGGTTCTCCAGGATGGGGGGACTTTCCGGGATTACGCTGTCATGTGCAGACATTTGCTGCGGCGAAAACGGCGACGGACGAAAGAATCCATCAAGGAGGGAGGGTTAGGGGCAGAGAGATCTCTGAACCTCTATAAGTGCAGTCCACATCTAGCCTGCTCGGAACAGGGAACATGCCTGTGGGCAGAGACTGCGGCGCGTTTTTTCACGGATCTTTGCGGAGGGCCAAGCGGAAGTGCTGGAAGCCATGGTCCTAGCAGATCCCGTCGCCAACGATTCATCAGTCATCGTACACTTCTTTGTCGCCGGGAAGCTCTTTTGAAAACTCCTGCAAGAAACCGGCCTTCGCGGCCTTCGCGTCAAAGCACTCCCAATCGTCAAAAGCCTCTCCACACCACTTGTCGCATGCCTCGCGGCATTTCGCCCAAGTGGTGAATTCTTCACCATCGATACAACTACAAGTGATGACCTCCTGATGCCACAACCACCCCCACTTCTGCGACTCATTCGCCGCCCCTGCATCGTTGGTCACCTGGACATGGCGCAGAGCAGAGCCAAGGCCCATGAGCACCAAAAGAAGCGGAAACACCATGGCTGTGGAACTGTGTGGAAATACAAGAACTCGGCAAACTGCAGGCAGACTTTACTTGAGCCTTAAGCCACAGCCATTTTGTGCTGGTTTAGAGCGCAGTGTCTAGTTTTAGCAGATGGATTCGAATTAACTGGATAGCTAGTATAGGGAAATGTAAGACATATAACTTTATAACCATTCTGCGCTGCAGTGGGGCATCTTGCAGAGCACGCCATCTCCTGCTTTTTCGCTGCTCCGCTGTGCTCGGCCCCCAGAGGTGGACAGGCTCCGAAACGATTCTCTCAGAGGAAGTCCACCAGGCGCCTCCCAGGTGGTGGGACCAAGCCATATTTTAGCTGTCTCGAGTTCCACTCCGCACTTTGCGAGGCCTTCGTTCGTGAGCCCGCGCAGTCAAGGGGACCGGAAGCGCGGGCAGCCCGCAGCCTGAGGCCGTGCTCTGTCGTTCTCCAGTCTCGCTTCTTGAAGCCTCGTTGACAAAGCTGATTCCATGAGTTGTGATCCTCGTGACAGCAACCAGAAAGCCCTGGCGCCTCTTCGTGTATGAGACGACGACACTCATGGAAAGACTTATATGAACCCCATCACCCAACACCCCATGGCCTTCAGCCTTTAACTCACGAAATCTACGGCTGTGCCTTGCAGCGGGTCCGCTGACTCGAAGGGCGAAGGCCGCGAGAGGTTTGGCAAATTGAGGCCTCGGGGTTTAGCAGCCGGGCTCGGCTCAGGCGCAAGAAGTTGGGTTTAGGGCTGCTGGGGAGGGCTTTTTGCCTTTTGATGTGTGGTGCTGTGTGGTGCTTCTAGCTCTTTTGTTAGGGGCTTGGGCGTGAAGCGCTTACCGGGAAGACCATCCCAAGCTGCCCAAACCCTAAACCCTCCAAACCTATATAAAGCCCAGAAACCCCAAACTACCCAATCACAGGAAACACGCTGCCTCGCACGGCCTCGGAGGAGTCTTGGAGCATGGCCTCGGCATAGCGCCCAGGTGTTACAGGCTGACTCTCGTCTCTCTGCCTCGCTGCTTTTCGCAGGTGTTTAGGACTTTTTTAGGGTTGTTTATATGCTAACGCACTACGAATTGACCCGCGGGTTATGCTTGTTTTTGCTTGTTGTTGTCTTGCAACCATTAGTTGTGCTGCCACCCTTGCTGTGCTGCTGCTAATAACGTCCACCCCGACCTCATCCGTTCATGCAGAGCATCCATGCCGGAACCGTGATAACGTCTACCCCGACCCCATCCGTTCACGCACAGCATCCATGCATGCCGGAACCGTGATAACGTCCACCCCGACCTCATCCGTTCATGCAGAGCATCCATGCCGGAACCGTAATAACGTCCACCCCGACCCCATCCGTTCACGCACAGCATCCAT